GCACGGAGTTTACGCCGAAGCCAGTCATCCACCAGGTTAGACAGCGTCGTTACGGGAAGTGGAGGTGGTCGGAAATCTACTTGTAATGTTTCGTTAACCAGCTAGTACGTTTGGCGCATGATAAAGGCGATGCCCGTGTGGCTAGCACGTCTTCCACATTACAGGCTATATGCAGAAACCATTAAATGTGTTCGGGTGATCTCAAAGCAGCCGCGTGTGATTCGAAAACGTGGACGGCGGGCTATTAAATGAGAGTGGGGCGAAAAGGTTTCTCTGTTTACTAGTCCATCAACAGAGGGATTGCGCCTTTGCTAGGGATTTTTGTGAATCACTGATGATGCATCGAGCGTTTGGCAGCAACTAGCAATTGGCATTGCTGTTTCCGGAGGGTTTTCAGAGTTTCCGGCGGGGCCTTGGGTGATGTGCAAGAGGAACGCCAAAACCCTACCTCCTCTCGCTTGGCCAACCGTTACAATGCAGAGTACATTCGAGCGAGTGTTGCGGCGGAGCATGACTGCAGGAAGACAGGGGAACAATCGGAGTGTATACAGAATCTTGTCCTTCAAAGCCTAGCATTCGCACGGAATTTAAGTGCTGGCGCCTGTAGCATTGTAGTGATATGATTTGCGTGCGCAGGAATGCGTTGGAAATAGATTGTAAGCTCCCATATATCTCATTCTGAACCGCAGATTTTCTGGCTTCATTTTCGCCTGCACTCGAGACGCCAATGGTTTGGAATGGGTTGAATTATTATTTGTGAAGGACGTATGTCCACTAGTACTGGTAGTCATTTACAGCAACCTCGCAGTCAGCATAAGCACAGATGAATGTCAAACTACTGACCTAACTCTTGCACATTTTTATTGGCACCTTTGCTGTCGGCCCTCGGGTTGTGCCAGGGAGTATGTGGGACAGACTGAACTACCTTACATAGGTTTGGCATGTCAGATACGCTGCGCTAGGAGTGAAACTTCTTTCACTGCAAATTCCAAATTCCATGCGTATTCTGAAATCGCAGTTACGCAACTTCAGAGAGCGGTATGCGTGTGATTGGAAGACCATAAATTCTGTGTGCTCGAAGTGGTCGCATGAGTGAGTTCTAGACTGCGGTGAACCAGCCACTTCGCGTTCGCCCACGCTTAACCCGCTGGGGCTCTATTAATCGTTATGATCTCTTTAGAATTTATATTATCTGGAAATGAATGTGGTGGTAAACAGGATATGAGTTGCGTGGTCTGCTACGTGCTACGAGTAGACCAGTAGTGTGGTAGGCTTTGGCCTTCATCGCGCGAGAAAAGATATTAGCCCACAGGCGAAGAAGTAGTACCCGGGTATATGGTGTGGGAGTCGACTTGCGTTGTTTGCTGTGGGATACCTGTTTACACCGATAGTTTGAATGGCGTCAACATTCTGGAGCGAGGCTGGACTTTGTAAGGATTATAACAGACGTTTGCAAAGGGCTGAATAGGAACAAGCCGCGCTCATGGTATGTGGTGAGCGAAAGTAATCGTATTGAAAACGAGGTGGGTTTAGTGGTTGGCTGCGGGCCATCTGTAAACACGCGCAGTTTGGGCGGTGTTCGTCCTCTGGAGCAGAATCTCATGGGCGGGATGGTGCGTAATTTGGAACAGGTATTAACGCTCATGCTGGTGAGCTCAACAGCAGATACTTGCGCAGGCAGCACGAAGCACTTAAATGGTGTGCAATGGCTGGCACTGGATGCTTCACTTTGCAGGAGGTGCGTGTGGTTGATTGCTCTCGCCTGCGAGCTGGTAGTAGAAAAGGAGGACAGCTAAAACAATCGAGGAACTATTTTGCTTTGGCTGCTCACTTGCCGTCCGAATTTGAGGTCTACAGTTTTCAAACCCGTGTGTTGTATTTAGTTGCCAGGGTCTCAGCGTCGGCCTTCGCACAAATTGAATATTGCAGTATCCAGTGGTCGGACTCCATTAGGTTTCTGTTGGGTCTGCGCAGGCCTTGCACTCTCGAGCGTAAAGAGTGGATGGCTATGATTTGGGAACGATTGCTGTGCATGGTTAGGCTTTGGCGAATGTGTATTATGTAGGAACGGCGTATGAGAACAGGCAATTTCTAGCTTCTCTGTGTGCGTATGCAGTGTGCTTTTAGGCTATGCCGGCGTTTCTTGTAACCATAGAGTAATTGGTCCAGAAAGTATGTGCATAGTGCAGGGGGAATGTTGTGGAGGTGCTAGGGGTGCTGCAGAATGCTCCTATGCTGTCAACGGCGGTGTGCGAAGATATACTACAACGTACCCAAGCCAAAAGCCGTGGGGTCAACTGCCTCGCCGTCATTTCAGACGTACAGTGCAACGACAGTACTAGCGCGTGCGCATTGCAACCGAAATGTCAACTTTTGTTGCACTGCACTTCTGACCTGACGGCAATGCAATTGGCCCCATGCTTATCTGCTTGGATGCGTTGAGCTATATCTGCGCACTAGTAATGGACGGTGAGCGTCGGTGTCTACTGTCTGAGTCGTCTGATGAATCCATCACTGACTGGTTCCCCGAGTTGGACAACTCAGTGCAAAGTGCTCACGCCGCTACGCAATTGTAGCCAGTGAAATCCAAAAGCAACAGTCTTGCTCTAAGCTCAGCGGATGGTTCGTGTGCTGCTCAAACACTGTGGATTGTTGTTGGTTTTCGAACAAGAATCGACCCGCGAAGGGTGCTTCATGCAGCCAGCTCCATGCGTACTCCTGCGCTGTATAGTGAACTTGGTCCTTATTTATAGAAGCTAACTGACCATTGGAGAGGGAACGCTAGAGGACGTGCAACCGTCGACGTCATGCTCTTATGCAGTTTTTGTGCGTTGGACTGCTGCCTAGTGTGGCGGAGCTCTCTTTGTCACTACGATTGCACGCTGCTTTGCCCAGGACGTATGCACAATATGCGTTAACGCCTAGAGGCACGAAGAAGACGGAAAGCGTGAAAAGCAGGTTCACCATCTCGGTGTTATTAGTTCTGTCAAAGGCCAGCCCTTCTGGTGTGTGTGTGTGTGTGTGTGTGTGTGTGTGTGTGTGTGTGTGTGTGTGTGTGTGTGTGTGTGTGTGTGTGTGCCTACTCCGCAGTTTTACAGCAGGCTTCTCTAGCGTTGCGATCCCTCGCTGATATGGCCAGAGAGTAAGCATGCATAATCAAACTCACAAATATACAATATTTATATTGCAGGCGGGCAGACCTGTAAAGCTGCAGTGTCCTCAGCTATTTACTGTCGTGGGACTTGAGTTTGGGATTAAATCGGATTCCAGCGAATTTTCGAAGCATTATATGTCCAGAAAAATACGTGGTAGCAGGATCGGCGATTGCTTGTGTTCACTACCATTATCTAATTCCCGGAAGCCTAACCAACACGAGTTGGGTTAGTTACTGTGTTGCTAAGGGATAACACTCAAAGGCGAGGAGGGGTCTGAGAAGGCGACTGATTTTGATGTGGCATGAATTAGTCCTGTTTTGCATTCAAACTAGCAGAAGCCTATTAATACCCCACTTATCTTTGTTGGTAGTTGGCCGTTCCCAGCACTGTTGTCATAGGATTACAACATCGTAAACGAAGATATGCACGGAGCAGGTCGTCGACCAGTACGCAAGTGATATTCTGTGTGTGTCTTGAACGTTCTCGTTTCTCGTAGGTCTTGCATCAATACTCCACTCGACGGAACCCCCATGCAGCCAATTGCGTCTCCACAGTTAGCGCTTGATCCAGGGTCGATGTTTCGGGTCAGCTCCTCCCGCAAGCAGGCGTATTCACAGTATTTGGCGGAGCTCCTCGGGATGTGCAACTGTGACAACCGTGTGATAATCGTGGGCCTTGCAGTTTGCTTGCTCACCTCCGGAGATGTGGTAAGGAGGCGAAGATCGTTCTGAAATCACCATCGTCCATTGTCTTGCCGTCAGGCCGTGCACTTAAATGCAAAGGCAACTGCGAGCAGAGCATCCACGCGTACAGCATGTGGAAGCCTTCGCATGCGATATGATCGATCGCCCTTTGCGCCAGCAAGTATGCACAAAATCGGCTGCCACAGTTGCGAAATGCTAAGCTGTCGACACCGAAGATTGTTTGCAGTAAATTCACCATGGTGGAAAACTGGGTGCCGTGATATCAAAAGGCCGGCCGCTGCCAAGAGTAGGTATGCATGTGAATATATGCTTATTTGCAAAGTTGCATTGCGGGACGCATTGGATGCTTGTCTTGCCCCACCCTCTGATATCTGGGGGGTGAGAATCTGGGTGTGATACGCGGCTGCCGTACGAGGACGTACATTACCTACGCCTTTACTAGGTTTATGAGGCGGTGTATCGGCAGAGTTTGATTGGCTGAAGGCCGAAGTGAGTGTAGTAGTCTTTCTGGAATGGAATGGAATGGCGACGCAACTGGGCGCAGAGCAGAGCGCTACAAACAGGACTCGAGAGAATGCTCATGGCATTCGCACTAACCAACAGGACGCATGTACTTCATTAGTCGGCTGTTGGGTAGCACAAACAAACTTCTGATTCTGTTGGGGAAGCCTACTTGAGCTCTTTGGTGTCTGGAACTGGTGCAACCTATGATACTATGTTCGGATCGAGATCCGCCGGGCAATTATAGGGGCTCGTCGCACGCCAGTGTACAATCTACAGGAGGCGGGCCCACACCCCTAACTAACGTACTGCGGGTGATTGTATAGCATACGCACGATTGGGCGGACACCTAGGGAGCAGGAAAGCGCGATCACCGTGGTGCTACAACGTTGCGTACGCTGCCCACGTGCGTTTTGTGTGAACATTTAGCTCGCTCTGCCTGAAGCGCCATTTTACCTGCTGCGTATGCCTCTCAAGGCAAAACTATCTGCTGTTGCATTTCAGCTTGTATGCGAGCAGACATGGAGGCTTACGCACATGCAGGCCCCTTCTGTCAGGTGCATTGGGAAACACTTTGATTGTTCTTTGTTTAGGCTGTGGCTGTTTTTCGTAGCAAATGCGTGGAGTGTTTAGACGGAACGATTTGAGTTTCCAGGGCACACAATGGTGTTCGTGACTTGGTCGGACAGAATGTATGCAACGAAATGTGTGGTAACAGGCAGCTTCAACTACACAATAATTCGTGTTTAACGAAGAGCAGGCATCAATCGGCATTGCTGCCGGCACGACCGCGGTCTCTCTTTGGCCACCGTTAAGAAATTCTTTCTGTGCATGGTGTGCAGCGCCGATGACGTAGATGGGAACCTATCCCCGGCTAGGCCGGTGCCAGTAGGGGGTCGTAGGAGGCGGGAGGGTCTTGAGGAACTGGACCCCCTGCAGCAGGTGTCCGACTCTCTCACGGAGCATGCAGAGGCGAAGATACGCCTGCGCTCGCTTTGCCCTCAGCGGTGTTTTCTCTTCTCTGTATGCCTCTAAGAACAAAACCAACTGCCCGCGGCGGTGACTTGTTCCGTTTCATTCCAGCTTGTATGCGAACAATGTCATCAACATTGATTATGACTATGAGCACTGACGTGAAGGCTTATGCGCATGCGGCATCGTTGCACTGGGAAACGTATTGAGTGGACCTCATGTGTATCTGGGAGAAGAGAGGCATGAACTAAGACTAGTCAGAAAAATTTTATGAGCGTTGTGGGGGTTTGTCACCTGTGCACGTCTACGGGCGCAGTCTGGTGAAGCCTTCTCTAGCGCTGCAATCGTGAGTTGCTTTGACCAGAAAGTACGTACATCATTGGCTAACAGAACTGCGACATGAGACACGTTATCCAGCTCTCCCAAACTGGCGCACACGCAAAGCACACAAAAACAAAATTCTTCTTCGTTTGGCAATTATTTGTGGTATCCCGTTCCAGTCTTCCTATAGCTTGCATGGATGTACGCGTGAATCTACGCTACCTTGTGGATTGGTAATGTGGCAAGACGTGCAAAACTCGCCTTTGTTTAACCCTGTTCATTTGGCATATATTTCCGTCAGGGTCCTTTCACACGCGAAATGTGTTTGCTACGTAGAGTCAGCGCAGCAAGGAGTTTCTAACAGCGCCCCACATCATCGGAGGGGACGTTGAGATAAAAGGCTTTGATGTGCTTGCATGACGCGTCTTATTGTTTCCGAGTATTTTGGTTTCTTGTTGCTTTTGCATAAGACCGGAGTCAGGAAATTGCCCCAAGAGGCAGCTGCAGTCATCCTGTGGTTAGGACGCACCTTGAGCCTGATTCGTGTTTTTCTCCTCAACGATAGCTAAAGCTCTGGTAAAGAAAATAATAAGTATCTTTTCAAACGGTAGGGAAAATGGTATGAACATTGTGAGGCTTTGTGGCTTGTGCACGTCTACGGGCGCAGTCTGGTGAAGCCTTCTCTAGCGCTGCAATCGTGAGTTGCTTTGACCAGAAAGTACGTACATCATTGGCTAACAGATCTGCGACATGAGACACGTTATCCAGCTCTCCCAAACTGGCGCACACGCAAAGCACACAAAAACAAAATTCTTCTTCGTTTGGCAATTATTTGTGGTATCCCGTTCCAGTCTTCTTATAGCTTGCATGGATGTACGCGTGAATCTACGCTACCTTGTGGATTGGTAATGTGGCAAGACGTGCAAAACTCGCCTTTGTTTCTGG